TTCCAGATTCATTAGCGAACACTTTTTCAGAAACGATCGTTTTTCGTTTTTTAAAAGTTCAAAACAAGTAGTTCGTTTTCAATAACGGTTTTTTTGCTAAAAACAAAACGATCGCTTTAAGAAAGAAAAAATCTAAACGAAAAACGATTACGACATGTTTAAAAGGTTTTCCAGCACAGCAGTTAACAAAGAAAATTTCAAAAAAGAAATTCAAGGAAAATTTGTTTCTATTTCTTATATCATTTCGGATCGATTATGTTTCTAATTTGCGATTTAAAAAGAATGCGAGATTTTAAAAAATTTGCATGCAGAAGGTTTTCCGCGCATTATTTGCATATTTCAGCGTTAAATCTTGGAGATAATCCAATATGATACTCTGTACTGTATGTACAAACATGACGGTTAAGAGGTAACTTGAAGTTCGTCTTGGAATTAAAATATTATTTGCGGCATTTCTTAGACAACCTAATTTGTTATGTGTATAGTTACTGAAAACAATAATCACAACATTTCTTCTATAGTCTCATAGGCACTATAGTTCAGCCCGGCCGGATTCTGTTGCACTAGACGGGTCAGTTCTGTAAGGACGGTAAATCCTTGTACTGGTTCTGATTAATCAACCTTAAACCTTAACTATTGGATCTATTGCTGAAAGAAATCTATTGTTTATTTGTGTTGAATTCCTAGGGTTTCTTTCTTAGACCTTTATCCCCAGATTTACATAGATTTGTATACAGGTACTACAGGATCATTTTAATATAGCTAGGCAAGGTTATTAGTGATATGCCCCAGACTAAGCTAGACAGGAGGAGATGGTCAAATTTACAGGACATTACCGGTAAGACTTTGTGACCCCGTAGCTCTTCTATAATTTTGATTTTAAGAACCCCATTTTGCATTAGAGGTGCAATTATAGATTTTTTTAAAATTCCCCTAACTGGGAAACAGTATAACATGAAGGAACACATGGAGCATTCCCCTATACCCTTCCTGTATCCCACCTCCTCTATTTTTTACCCGTCCTGTATTATTCACATTAAATCCTGTATCCTTCACCTCCTATATCTTTTACCTGGCATGTATCCTTTATTATTCACATAATTGTATCCTGTATCCCACCTTCCATATCCTTTACCCGTCCTATATTATTCACATTAAATCCTGTATCCTTCACCTCCTATATCTTTTACCTGGCCTGTATCCTTTATTATTCACATAATTGTATCCTGTATCCCACCTTCCATATCCTTTACCCGTCCTGTATTATTCACATTAAATCCTGTATCCTTCACCTCCTATATCTTTTACATGGCCTGTATCCTTATTCACATAATTGTATCCTGTCCTGTATCCCACCCTCCATATCCTTTAACCGTCCTGTATTTTAAATCGTGTATCCTGTATTCACTATCTTACTCCCCCGACCCCCATTTCTCGATCACAAACTCATGCCTACAAAGTACAATGCAGCTGAAACAGGATTTGTATTACTCTCATACAATGCACACTGCACAGACAGAAAACTGTTATATTATATAACAGAGACTCTCAACGCTTCAACATACATACATATGGATAATATATCTATACTAACATATATATGTATATATATATATAATATAAACTTTCCTTCTTAACACAATAGTTCCTATTTTTATCGCTAGGTGTTGAAAGTGAAACATCCAAAGCTAACATCAGAGCAGCTAATATATATGAAAATAATGCACATTTTTGAATTTGCTTTAATTTAAATAAATTGTGAAAATATAGGAAAACTTTTATTTTTGTTTGATTTAAAAATACTATTTTACAGAACCATAATCAACATGAATGCTCATAAAGCGTCAATTGATCATGGAATTCCTTAATCCACTCTATTTACTCATTCTTGAAACAGTTTACTTTTTGGAACACTTAGAGTAAGTGTAATAACAAGGGGGAAGATACAATTTAAGTGAGGGGGTCCTAGCCTAATTTGGAAAAAAACGATTTAGGAACAAAAAAAGTTTTTTATACTGTTCCTAAAGATAAAGATAGATATTTTACCCGTTTTGCACTAGGTTTTCTTTCCCTTAAGTGCTATTGAGAAGCTATCCTGAAAATATGAGGGGGGTGCTAAGGTCCTGCATCCCCCCTGTATCCGCACCTGGTAATAACTTAAATTATTATAATTATATTTAAACTTAATTAAACTTTAGTCTCTTGCAAGAATAACATGGGTACCAGTATCATTTTGCCTTGTACACTTTCGACTTTTATAGTTCCATAATCCATATGATCCATACTTCATTTCCACCCGGTGCTTATCATATACTTAAATACTTCAATTTACAGCCCCCCTCTTCTGAAAAAAAGTGCAATTTACAACCAAAAAAGGCATAGATTCCAATTTACCACCTTTTCCCCTACGTGATGTGTTTAAGAAAGTTGTGCAATCCCCCCCTTCTTGCGAATTACAGTTAAATATACATCCTAAGTCCTCAAACCTTTATTGCCATAATAATAATCTACTGAAATTTTCAGGGGGGGATATTAATTGGAAATTTTGCGAATTTTTAAAGGCATATTAGTTACTTTCAGGATAGGCATGTATACAGGTGGGGTGGGTCAGTAGTCCTCTTCACCCCCCCCTGGGCATTAATGTGTAACAATAAAATCAGGTGTGGATGGTAAAAATGAACTTGCCCCCATCTGCAAAGGAGTGTTTTCCTCCTAAAAAAGTAGTCGACAAATTTTCTTGCCGCTTCGCGCCATTTATTTTCAAATTTTACCTTAGTGTTTCCCTTTCATATAAATCGTCCCCCCCCCTTACTTCACACCTTGGCTGTAAGCATCATGCATGTGTTTGGAATGTCTTCCCGCAACCCCCATGAAGGCCAGGGGGAAATTACATTAAGAAAGCAGTGGAGGGGGGGGGGGAGAGGACATTAAAGAGGACGGAGGACTTAAGATAGCCTTCAGGAGCTATACAGAACTATACAAAGGGAAACATCTTCTGGAAACTATACAGAACTTTACAATTAAGGGATACATAATAATAGTTCTTAAATTGGAACTGCATTGGGCTACATAGGGAACATGTAGTAGACTTATCATAAATTAATTTCAATTTTAAGGCCAGGGGGAGGGGCAAATAAAATTCTGCGCTTCGTGCTATAACTTGCCCTCCCAGTCCCAAGACTCCCAATGGCCAAAATCCTGTAAACGCGGGCCTGTTTCAGGACATAAACCTAAGAGATCCCTTTTTCTTTAACAAACATTTTACTTTTAGATTTTTCCAATTAAAAACCTTATTCTAATTTTCAGTTTCCAGGCTCATAGCAACTGAAAACTCCTATTTTTTTACCACTCTACAGCTTTTTAATTATATAGGGAAGGGTTAAAATCAGGGAGCGGAAACGTCATAATGTGTATGTCTGTACCAAAAGAGTGTGTGCAAGTTTACAACACCGAAGGTGTGTACTTTAGGTATATACAGTACATGCGAATCTCGGTATTTGTAAAAGTCTAGGAGAGTACGTTTGTTTATTGTTAATTGTTTACTTAAAAATAAGTTTAATATACATGTAGCATATTATTTATATATTCAAGTCAACACTATAAGCCAAATGTTCATGCAAAGAATATAGCTTGATTAAAGTTTACACAAATATAGTCGTTATTCAAGTTTAATTATAATTGACAACATTGTTCTGCAATTTCCTTGACTGTAATCATGTTGTGTGTCTGTACCAAAAGAGTGTGTGAATTAGTTTAACGTACTGGTCTGCAATGCAGTGCGACTGGCTTTCTCATGCCAGACCAGCGCCATTTCCTTTCCCTTTATTCCCTGCTTAAAATGCTTTTTGTCTTGTATTCGTGAATCGTAAGTTTAACTTGTCTTCCGGTTGCAAGTTCCCGCCCTGTGAAGACGACATTTGCTAAGATATATTCAGTTCCTACGATGGGATGAGATTTCAATTTCATGCGTGACGAGAAAGCTAGATTTCACATCGCATTCACAGAAACTAATTAAACGTGAAGCACCATCTCCTGTTGATGAATATTTTTATTTAAAGTTCAATTAAACACCCCAATATCCCCACCCTGGTGCTAATTTAGCCAATATGTTTTCTGAATTTGATCATCATGTCTCCTAATTTCAACAATATTTTAATATAAGATCAGTACCACATTAAGATCTGAATTGTAAGTTGGGATACGCAATAGCCTGATTTGTTTTACAGAAACCTTTAATGTTTTAAGGTTTCACGACAATAAGAGAAGGTTCCAACATTTTAGAATTTTGCTTTTATCAAACCAGCAAATTTGTTATCCTAGAAGAAAATATAACGCGAAAACGAACCAAAAATGATCCTTGTTGGGTTCGTTTTCGCCGTACATTTTTACCAGGGATAACATTATGGCATGTTTGATAAAAGCAAACTTCTACAAAATACAATTTTAAATCGTTTTGAACCCTTCTGTAAAAAGAATCTGTTTTTGTAAAACGAATCTAGCTATTGCCCATCGCTAATTGTAAGTACTTAGGATAATGGGTTCCCTTGTATTACTATAGAACTAATTAATCACTGGAATTCCCCTAGCTTAAAGCATTGCTTATAGCTTAGAAAACTGTACTCATCCAATCTTTGGTATAAGGGACATAGAGTGTAATTTCAAGTGACCCTCCATGCAAAGATTCAAGGTCTGATTCACAAATGGTTCCCTTGAAACCTAAATTTTATAAATATTGTGGAAGATATTGTCGTTTTTCGTAGGTTATATGTTTAATTTTGCTAATTCAGATGCGTTTTCCTACAGTGCAAATGCGCAAGTCACTTTGGTAGAGAAATTACAATTATCACAATTAAGAACATTATCATCTATTTCATACTTGATCAGATCAAGGTTTTAAGGGAACTGTTGTAAATCGGGCATTGCCATTTTTGCATAAAGGGTCGCTTAAAAATTATGTTTACATTCCCTTTAAACCGCGCCTCATAAATCAAAGTATTCTGTATAATTAATATCTTTTATTAGAAATAATATATATTACTTAACACTGTATAATATTGACCGGAAAAGAAAATGTCGTGTTTTCTAAAAACTAATCTTGAATTTACAATAATTTAACCGTAGACTACCGTTTAACTCCAACAGGAACGAGGAAAGAAAAGCAAAGCATTTAAACATTTCCAGATTGTATGATGGGGGGGGGGTCGAGTGAGGACTATGCGAACCCGAACCCCTCCGAGCACTCCTGTATTGCCTTCAGTAGATAGTTTCTCAGTTTATCGTAGGTCTAAAATACAAATTAAAATATATCAGACGAATAAAATAAACTGTGTCAATAATAAATATAAAACAAACATTTTTGAAACTTTCTTTGAAAGTAAAAGAAGTTACAAATATGGAAAACTTAAATAGAATCTTGCCTTTTCCTCAGGCTTAAAAATGATCTCTACTACCGTGGTAGCATTGAATCTGAGTTTGAAATTGTGTGAAACTTAGCTTTTATGTAAAATTAACTCAAAGCTAAAGAGTTTGAAGTGAAATCCATAAAACTGCGGAAGAGGAAGACGACATTTAAGCATTTGATGTTGTTATAAAGCAAATTTGAAAAATCAAATTTAAAGTAAAATCTATGTGTATTTTGTATACTGCAAAATTGTTGTGTTTCGTGTTCATCGGACTATTTCAAATCATAACTTAAATCTGACAGTCGTCTTTCGACTCGACAATTTAATGGGTCACACTGTATATATATACCTCGTATGCTGGTAGATCTAGCTGATTAAAGCAAGTATGAGCTGCGGGTAATCTATCTGTGGATCTATCATCTCGATGGATTTGGAACTTCTGGGATCCGTTCATTCCCTCCAAAGCTCCAAAACCCTGCAACATCAAACATTCTAGTGGTTTCCAACATTATTGCACCAACTAATAGTGCTAAAAACAGACAAAATAATCTAATCCCAAAAATTGGGATATTACGAGGCGAACAGTCCCTTTAGTACAGGGTTAACCACAGTGCTAACTAAAAAAATATAGAAAAACTGTCATATTAATTAGAATTGTAGCTCAGGGTTTCAAAATTTCATCTTAATATGAGCCCTGGAACGTTTTCAGACGTGTCAGTATTTACAGTTACAAAAAACAAATGATTAAAAAAAATATACACCCCTGATGATATGAAAATGATTTGGCAAAGAAAGAAATAATTAATTAAAATTGAGAATACCAATGGTGCATCTACGGTAACCCTGTTAAATATTAAGAATACCAATGGTGCATCTACGGTAATCCTGTTTAATATTAAGAATACCAATGGTGCATCTACGGTAACCCTGTTAAATATTAAGAATACCAATGGTGCATCTACGGTAACCCTGTTTGATATTAAGAATATTAAAGGTGCATCTACGGAAACCCTGTTTCATATTAAGAATACCAATGGTCCATCTACGGTAACCCTGTTTCATATTAAGAATACCAATGGTGCATCTACGGTAACCCTGTTTAATATTAAGAATACCAATGGTGCATCTACGGTAACCCTGTTTAATATTAAGAATACCAATGGTGCATCTACGGAAACCCTGTTTCATATTAAGAATACCAATGGTGCATCTACGGTAACCCTGTTTAATATTAAGAATACCAATGCATCTACAATAACCCTGTTTAATATTAAGAATACCAATAGTGTATCTACGGTAACCCTGTTTAATATTAAGAATACCAATAGTGTATCTACGGTAACCCTGTTTATTTACCTGAAGCGGAACTTTGCTAGATCCTGTAACAAACTGTAGGAACTTGGCTCGATCCGTCTGATCAAAGGATCTCAAAGCTCTCCAGAACCTGATCAATTAATCAATCAATTTATCAATTAATCGACTAATCAATCAATCAATCAATCCAATCGAATTTGAACAACAAATCTATTAACACTCAGTAACAAAAGGATTAATTCAACCAATGAATACACTTAGAAAGCAACAACCAACGAACCGATGAATTAACTACAGTACCAATCAACCAAAAATGAATGAACTAAAGAACATACTAACCAATGAATCATTAAAAAATGAAGAAAAAACAATAGAATATTACCATAACAAGGAAAATAAAATAATGATATAAATAAAAATATAGCAAGTAAAGAAAAAATATGGGTTTATTTGATAATGAAATTTTAGAAAAAAGAGAGGGACATAAATTTATAGACCTTTTTAAGAAAAACTATATTCATATGAACATCCATTATTATTATTATGAATATTAACGAACAACCCTGCATTCGGCGAACTAGGAGTCGGCATTCCATAATAAGGAAAACTAACTCACCATACTATTTGGAGACTAGTGGCCGTATACTTGTGATATTCTGTATTTCCCTTCAAATCATCGATATTTATGTCTGGTAACCCTGAAAATAATCTTAGCTTAGTTCCACAGAACAATAAATATAGACGACGAACGATAATGCACTATTTGGTTAAGTGATGATAGTTAAAACTAAGATGTGAATTTGTGAGCGAGAGTAGAGAGGTAGCTTGTTTCGTCAAAGATTTAAGCACAGTTGAAAAGTTTGAAGTATTCATTTTTCTGGTATGCTTGGCATAATTAATTTAGTTCTAAGTCTAAAGCGAGGGTTAAGAGTTAAGTAAGAAAAACATTTAAGCAGCATAGACGTTTTCTCTGATTTTTTTACAGGGTTAAATAGAAGTAATGTAGAAATACTTAATATTGGGCTTGTGTACAATTTACTGTTAAGTATTTGGGCAGTTCAGGAACCGGAAAGTAATAAATAATACCGTCCAGTATAAGCCCGTTTTTGCTTTAAAAAGTTGTATTTAGTTTGATACAACTAGTTCCCAGTAGCAGTTCAACTACGTTACAGTTTAACGTGTACACGAACCCTACCCCCCGTACTTTAAATATGTGACATGCGTATACCTGATAGAAGGAGTTCCAACTCCTGTTCATTAAAGATCGAGATTAATCTCCTAGGGATAATATCGTAGAACCCCTCGAGGAAAGCCCCCAACTGCTTCCTGATGGCTCCTGTCATCTTCATCTGACAAACCAGACGGACATAATCATTCTTATTCTCCTCGGTCACCTAAACATGGTTCTATTTATATACAGGGAGAGTCAAAATAAAATATCAAAAACGTATTTACATTAACAAATTCAGCATATTCATTATTCAAATTTGGTGATTATCTTTTGTGTTTTTTTTTAAAGTAACTCTTATATTTACTAATAAATTTTAATGACACTTTGGTATGTAATAAAATGAATATTTCTTCATCGATTTAATAAAAAGTTAAGTTCATTTTGAAAATATTTTTTCGGTGCACTACAGTTTTTTTTGAAAAGATTGCAAGAAAACAGCAAAATATTATTTATGACACTATAAAATTGATATTAAACGGATCAAATAACAAATCAAGAAATATTATCAATTTTATCTTAAATTTGACCGCCTTACCGTTATATTCCTGCCGTTAGGAATGAGGTCCCTGACCTCCGTGACCCCGAACTCCTGGATCTCGGTTGCAAAGGTGAGATCGTATCCGAGGTCGGACACCTTGTTCTCCAGCAGGAAATCTAGTCCTTTATAGAACTCATAGTCCTCACTTTCCATATCCTGCACATATCAAGGTTAAAATAGAACTCATAGTCCTCACTTTCCATATCCTGCACATATCAAGGTTAAAATAGAACTCATAGTCCTCACTTTCCATATCCTGCACATATCAAGGTTAAAATAAGTCCAAGTTTAAATTAAATTATAAGACGTCTGTGTTAAAGTCAATATTTAAGTCAAAATCTTATTCAAATTCAAAGTCGTTTCAAAGTTCAAGTTCAAGTTAAAATATAAGTCAAAATAAAACTCAAATTATTATTAACTTACAACAATGAATTTCCTTTTTTTTCTGTCAATTTCCTTTATCTTTTAAATTGTTAAAAATTCTGGAAAAACATGAAATTAAACTAAATTACACTAAATTAAATCAAATCCAGCCAATCAAATGAAATGTATCATAAAAAAAATTATCAAAACCACGAGATACTCCAAACTCTAATCCAAATCAAATAAAATTAAAACAAACAAAAAACCTAATACCCAACAAATCTTAGTAATGAAACCCCTGACTAGCACTAACCTGATGACTAACAGGTTTAGCTAGAATATGTTTGTAGAAGCTTCTGGTGAAATAGCACTCTAACAGCTTGTTGTCATAGATAGCCTAGGAATAAAATATTATTCCCATTTAAATCAATAATTTACTGTAACTACAAAATAAATTTACGTCAAAAGGAAATCTTTATTACTTATGTTTGACTCATGAATCGTTCTGTAACACCTTGTTTGATAAGGATCCGTCCTTTTAAATACTCATAAATATTTAAACTTTCCCCTCAATCTTGTATGAACTAAATTCAAGGGTAACTAGAAAGCACGTCATCAGTCCCTAAAATCCCTTGAAAAATCAAAGCATATTATCTATAATTCCTACCTTGGCGATAACTCTGCCGACGAACTTAAAGTAGTCGAGGTGGTTGGAGTTTATGTGGGAGAAGTCGTTGATGGTGTAGGTCACCCTGTCTCCAGGACTGGACTTGAACAGGGCGTAGTTGGGGTTAAAGATCTCCCGGGATATAATCATGTACCATTCACGAAGTAGACCACCGGCATCCTGTCCCTCCTCTCCTTTAATACAGACAGGGTCATACAAGGTTACACAAGGTTACATACGGTCATATATGGTCATGAAGTCTTACAGGGTCACGAATAGTCTTACTCTACAGGGTTAAAAGGTCACACAGGGTTGTAAAAGGGATACAAGGTCTTAAAAGGCCATAAAGGGTCCTAAAAGGTCGTGCAGGGCCATGAATTGTCTAACAAGGTCATCAGATTTCATACAAGATCATATAAGTGCATACAGGGTCATACACGTTCATACCGGGTCATACAGGCTTATACACGTTCATACCGGGTCATACAAGGTCATAAAGGCCATACAAGGTCAAACAAGGTCATACATAGTCATACAAGGTTAATCAAGGTCATAAAGGCCATACAAGGTCAAACAAGGTCATACAGGATCTTGTATGGTCATACAAGGTCATACAGGGCCTGACAAGGTCCTACAGTGTCATGAATAGTCGTACAGGGTCATAAAAGGTCCTACGAGGTCATAGAAGGTCATACAGGGTCGTACATGGTTTTACATAGTCATAAAGGGTCCTGCAAGGTCATACAGGGTCATACAATGTCATACAAAGTCATACAAGGTCATGAATAGTCTTACATAGTCTTCAGAGGTAATATTAGGTCATATAGAAGGTCATACAGGGTCATACAGGGCTATAAAAGGTCATACAAAGTCATACAGGGCCATACAGGATAATACAAGGTCATACAAAGTCATACAGAGTCCTAAAAGGTGAAACAAGGTGAAACAAGGTCAAACAAAGTCAAAAGTCATACATAGTCATATAGTCATACAAGGTCTTACATATGGTACAGTGTCATAGAGGTTCATAGAGGATAATACGGATATACAAGGTCATAGAGGGTCATAGAGGGTAATACAAGGTCATACATGGTCATATAGACTTATCAGATGGAGATTATATTGCTAAAGCTAGGTATGATTGCTAGTTAACTTCTACTTTCTTGGACTGAAGTAATATTATCCGTACCTACTTCAACTATATCTCGCTATTCATTAAACAGCTTAAAAATGAAGAAAACTTTCATCCTATTCTGGAGTTTAGTAGTGCAGATTTGATGAACAATATATAGCATGGAGTTTACCTTCAAATACAATATAAAATCTGTTTTTCCATTCCTCCGCTGATCTTCTATGCAACTCTCTAAAACTCTCCTCAAATACAGCTTCTCGTCTTACATGGACTGCTAGATCCTCTCGTCGCATTCCTTAAATATATTCAAGATTAAAACTTAAAAGATTTAAACTAAGGATATGACCGGGGGAAAGGGTTTGGATCAATGGAAGTAAAACTAAGAATATGGCCGGGGGAAAGGGTTCGGACCGATGGAAATAAAACTAAGGATATGACCGGGGGAAAGGGTTTGGATCAATGGAAGTAAAACTAAGGATAGGGCCAGGGGAAAGGGTTTGTACCAATGGAAGTAAAACTAAGGATATGACCGGGGGAAAGGGTTCGGACCAATGGAAGTGAAACTGAGGATAGGGCCAGGGGAAAGGGTTTGGACCACTGGAACTAAAACTAAGGATGGGTCGGGGGTTAGGGTTTGGACCAATGGAAGTAAAACTAAGAATATGGCCGGGGGAAAGGGTTCGGACCAATGGAAGTAAAACTAAGGATAGGGTCAGGGGAAAGGGTTTGGACCAATGGAACTAAAACTAAGGATAGGGTCGGAGGTAAGGGTTTGGATCAATGGAAGTAACACTTCATCGGACCATTACTTATATTAGGATAAAGGTTTTAAAGGAAGTTTAGGCGTAATTTCAAGTTACTCTCCATTATAGGGAGCTTAAAATGACAATCCTTACAAGCCTAAGAACTACCGTTACGATTCTTTCATGTCCCTCTCCAAATAGACTATCATGAAAATAATGTCAACCAACCAGGATATTAAATATGATCTTACCTTCATCTAATCTTTCCAGTTCTGTTCTAAAGTATCTTCTTTTTATATCAAAATCTAGAACTCGAGTATGGTCAACCTTAAACAAAACAATTTATTTTAAAAAATTTAATAAAAACATCACTCTTTTAAATAAGACAGTTATAAGTAAGAAAAGTAATCAGGACATGATTTTTTAGAAAAATATTACTCAATTTGAACATCAAACAATTTCCAAAAAATGTCTAGATTTTCTAGTAATTGATTAAACAATGTTATGCCTGAATTTTAACTTATGTTTAAAACAAATGATTTAGTAGCTTTTAAATTTTTGTCCACTTTTTCACTTTTCCGTCAGAAGCTTATAACATACCAGTACTGCGAATGGTCCATCTGCTAGGTGTGTGGTGGACTGTCTAAGAATCTGGTTTAGAACAGTTCTGTGTGTCTCTGCAAAGGCAAGGAACTTCTTGGTGTCAGGGGATAAGGGAGCAACTACGGTAGTTGATCCAACACTGTCATCTGTTAGCTTTTCCTCCTAAATAATTCGTAGGATTAGAAAGTTCTGTAACAAAAAACTGAACTGAGGCCGAATTTAAAGAATTTAAGCCGCGGCTTAAATTTGAGACGCGACTAAAATATGGTGGGTTCCACTTAAAATTGCATCCACTATTTCAAGATTTAAGCCTGCGCTAAATTAAAACCGGTTTTTGGCATATTTAAGACACGGCTCAAATTCTTTCAATTAGGACACTGGTTAATCATTAACTAGGCTTTTAGGGTGCTACTGCTAGGTATCCCTTTCATATTAAACATTTTAACTGTGAACTCTGAAAATGAGCCATTTTAAATCTTACTCAAATTTTTGCGGATTTTTCTCTTTGAATTGATGTATTTTCAAGAATAAAAAAATTTCTACATCTTTTCTAGGCACCATTTTTCAACTTCGACCAGCAGTTATGATGTATCAAAACATTTATTCCTAAAAGCTACAAAATATTTATTTTATTACCTGTATATGCGCCAATTGTTCCTGTCTAGTTTCCTTCTGATTTGTTTTCTTCTTCTCCTGATTGGTTGTAGCCGCAGCGTGGACCAGGAAGAAGGCCTCTACAGTGGGCTGAAGGACCAGGACAGCATGATGGTCTGGGGTATCCGCCAGTTCACGTAGGCAGGCGGACAGAGTCTCCCACAGCATGGACAAGGCCAGCTGGTCGGACAGGGACTCCAGGTGGCCTTCATCGTCATCCTAAATAAAATAATCGTCAAAATGTCATTCCTTTCAAAAAGCTTTTGTTTGAAAAATGAGTTAACTGATATAATTTCACTGACATTTGGAAGTTCAATATTTCTAAAAAGACACATTTTCTCAGATCCCCCCTTTCAAAGTTTCAAGATTAATTTACCTTCGGTTTAGTTTGCTCCTCTGATTGAGTCGGCTCACTAGGTTCAACTTCCATCTTGGTATCCTCTTCTTCACCAACTTCAGTAGGAGTGTCAGTTGTTACAGTAGGCACATCAGCTTTGTCAGCAGGTACCTCAGCGGAGTCAATAGGAGTCTCTGTTGACTCTGAAGGAATGTTGCCAGAGTCTGGTGTAGCTTCCGGGTTTTCAGCTGGAAGCTGGGGACCAGTCAGAGCAAATGCAGCTGCAGCAGCTTTCTTAGCTGCAGCAAACGCTTCAGCGTCCTTCTTCGCCTTCAAACTTTTCTTCATGGCATGCAGCGCTGCTTCTCTCAACTGAATGATGACCTTGAGCACCCGAAGGAAAAAAGACTGACTGGAGGTTTTGTTGGTGAGTGCTGACATGGAGGAGAGTTGAAGCTCAGCTCCTGCCTTGGGTTTGGTTGGAGCTGTCAGCACAATTGCTTCACGAGTAAACCTATCTGCTAGAACTCCTTTATGCTTTGATTCATCTTCTTCCTCTTTGATTCCAACCACAAGGTTACCAGATGATTTGAGATCTGCTAGTTCATTGAGAAGCACGGACACATGATCCCGAACTACATTCCCCAATTCTCGAGCTCCAGCCAATAGGAGATGAAGAATAGACTCGCGGGTTTGGGTTCCTACATAGGATAGATTGAGCAGAAGTGCAGTAACATCTTCCAATCCTTCCTCACTGCACGCTTTGCTAGTTAAAACTTCCACAGCCAATTTGATTTGATCTTCTCTGACAGTTCTATCAAAGCCTTGGACCTGCTCCAAGGATGAGAGAGTATCAGGCTCCTCATGTCGTTTCACCACCTCTGGTTGACCCAAAGAGATGAGAGAGAGAAGTCTGAGTAGTTTATCTGTAAGAAGGGAGGAGCGTTTAATAACCGGGGATGCCAGCATACCAAGCAGTTGGCCAAATGCTGATACTGATGAGCTAGCGCTGAAACTATCATCATCTTCACTCTTGATTCCAACTGAGGAATGACTACGGACAACAGATTTTCCTTTTCTGCTGGTCCAACACTCTTTATCTAGTTTCAACAGGGTCTCCCAAAATTCTGGCAATTTGGTCTTTTTAGTTTCACTTGTGCCCTCACCGGCATCCTTTTCCTTGCTCTGTGATGGGAGAAAGTGGATAGAGAAGCTTTTTGCAAGGGAAATTAAAACTTCAAGGGTGTTTTTGCACACCACCTGGGCAGCCTGAGGATGTATGTTAATATTTGCAATATTGATCACATTTGACGACCTTTTCCCTCCTCCTGTGGAACTGGGTCTTTGGACTTGAAATACATTTGCCCTGAAGCCTAGGGCAGCATCCATAGATATATTTAGCCATGATGTTTGACTAGAACCTCGAACATGTTCTCCTGGTGTAGAGCCTCCCTTACTTGTGGACTTCTTCAGCTTAGCGGGAGTGGGACTTGCTCCGGGTTGAAGAGGATCTGCAGTTAAAGCTGAGGAGCTATCTGTGCAACAGTTAGCTTTCTCCAGGATTGAGAGAAGACACTTGATAACCCAGTCTCTGGTGGGAGCATGGTAGCAGAGGTTCCTAAGTATTCTGTGTAATCTCGTTGTGTTTAGCTTTGCATCATCTATAAAGAGAAGAATAAGAATACATGACAGAGCTTCATGATCCAGTAGTTGTCTGCCTTTAAACTTTGCACTGGTCTGGGCTGCAATTAGGGCAGCACTATGTTGATGGCTAGGACCACCACGTCCTATAGATCTGGACCAGACACTTCGACCTGGTCCACCAGTGCTTGAATGCACAGTGTAACCTCCCATACGGTTTACGGTATTCCTCAAAATACTGGAAAGTGTGGCTGCAGGATGATTTACATGACTGAAGAAGCGTTCATGCATCATGGCTCTATTCCTTTGTTCAAAGTCTCTTCTTAAAGTTTGTGCTTCTGCAGCAATCTCAGCTGGGAGAGCGGATATTTGGCTTTCTTCCATTTCTGCTAACAAAGATTGTCTAAGAGAAGGAGGCAGGGTTTGTAAAAATTCTCCAGGATCAACAGGAGCTGTAGGATCAACCTGAGCTGCCGACTGTCTTTGCTGTTCTAATCTTTGCTGGGCAAGTACCTCTTCTTGAATGTTGGGGGGTAAGGCAGCAAGAAACTCTGCATTGACCTCAGCCACACCTTGTGTCTGTAGAGTGGGTGGGGGTGGAGGTGCCTGCCTAGCTCTAAGAAGCCTCCGCTGTTCCTCCAATACTTCTTGTCTCATATCCTCTGGCAAGGCAGCCAAGAAAGAAGGATCAACTCCTTCTGGAATTTCAATATCACCAAGAATCTCTGAGAAATCTATACCAGATCTTTCAGCTGGAGCTGACGCTCCAGATGGCCCAGCTTCTGCAACTCCATCTTCAGTCTCTTTATTCTCCTCAGCTTGAGCTGTACTTTCTTCTTGAGATCTGTTCCCAGTCTCTGATTCTGCATCAGCCCGCATTGATATATCCTGGTTCTCAAGGTTCTCTTGGGTCTCATGATCAGGTGAGGGGGAAAGAGGACCTAAAGCATCTGGAAGAGGAGCAGAACTAGCTCCTTCTGATATAGGTGATAAGGGTGGGGGGTTGAACCTCAGAGGGTTGAATGCTGGAGGTGGAGTAGAAAACTGGAAGGTTGGGGGTGGAGTTGCCTCATTTGGAGTACTAACATCGAAAGGAGGGGCCCCTGAAGAATAATTTGCCAAGGTTTGAAGAACAGAGTTTAATGTGCTTGTATCAACAGCAGTGGATGGAGTTGAGCTTGCACCACTTGGTAACAGCTCAGAAAGGGTTGAAAGAAGACTAGTCTGAAAACCAGGTTGAACTTCTCCTATTGTTACAGATGGTCCAGGGACTGGAACCAGGCCTGGTATCCCTGTCACTCTGCTGCTGATAGCATTTGCAAAATCTTCTGTTAGCCTGGAGACTGTATCTGTTAAACTATTTCGTGATCCCAGTTCTCCAGCTGTCATACTGCTGACAGCTGTGCTGATGGCTGAGTTCTCACTCACTACTACATCCATCTCATCAGCTCCAGAAATAAGTCCAGCTGATTCAGGAGCTGGAGTTGTGGAAGCTTCAGGCTCCTTTGCTTTCTTTTCCTCTTCTTTCTTTTTCCGTGCCTCTTCCTCTTCTGCCAATAACTTTTTCTTCTTTTCTCTTCTTTCTGCAAATTCTTCCTCCCTGAACTTCATTATGACCTCAAGCAGGCTAGGCTTAATTGCAGTAACACAGTCATGTACTGAATCTCCATCCAATACCCGGCTTTCTTCTGTCCATCGCACAAGAGCATTTGGAACAGTACTCAGAGATGTGTTGGCACCTCCTAGTAGCCCACTTTCTACGCCGGGCATCTCATCATCAAGTCCATCAAATATTGCAAATGCTGAATCCATAACTACTACCCTAGCATCACGTAGCCCATTCCCAGGGGCATTTCCAGTGAATGTGAGGAAATCCCTGGCAGAGGATGGACCCAGGAGGGATTGAAGGATGGCTGGGGTTCCCGGAGGAGGACCTCCATTCCTTGGGTTAAGCTGAATGTATCTGAAACCTCGGTTCCTCTGTAAAGTTCTATTCTGGCTCCGACTGGTTCCAGGTTGGGCATCAGCTCCAGTCCTACCCATCAGCAGAGGATGGTTGGGAGTAACATGATTGGCAGCTCCACCAGTTCCTGCTGCTTCTCCAACACCATTGGGTTCATTACCATCAGCACCCCAGAGGGGCAAAGTCACCCTATCATCACCAAGACCATATTGGTCATTGAGACCAATCATCATAACTGGATCGAAATCTCTATCAAGGTTAGAAGGAACCCTGAAGAATGCTGCATCATCAAGCTCATGGAAATCACTGTCATCCTGTTCATAGTCATCATTCTCACTTCCACCATCTTCATCATCATCGTCATCTTCATCCTCCCCTTCATCTTCTCCATCTTCCATTTCATCCTCTTCATCACCACCACTACCATCCGTATCCTAGAATTCAACGAATATTGTATACCAAATTATAATTATTAAAACTTTTTTGCAAAATCGTTTTTCTATTGAAACCCTTATTATTTGTTTGAATGTGCCAGATAAAGTAAACCTTTAGCAGATTTTTAATGAAAAAAGCACTCAATTTAAATACTGCCTGTTTAATGTGTTCTGCGTTATGCAATTTGAAATAATGGGGGGGGGGGCACACAATGAATTACTCTCAGGAAAATTTAAACAGTGTTGAATCATAACTTAAAATTGTCTTAGAATGCTGATTTTTTGCATGTGAACTATAAATTATGTATTATAACTGCAAAATCCGGAGCAACGGGCGCACTTACCAGCAGCGCGCCGATCAGAATGATCAAGCATAACTTTTTAGCATAAAAAATTTAATCCTTGGTTTAAACAAGAAAATTGACTAATCGTGCCCAATCACCCTTTAATTGACATACAATGTGTAGAATCTGTTGTAAGATGACCCATAACCTAACTCTTAACTACAAGCGCGCAGGTCAGACTGCTCCCATATTTATTTGACCTCTGAAATGAATTCCTCATGCCCCATTTTCTATAAATCGACATACAACATGTAAACTCTGTACTATGATGACCCAAACCGGTACAGCTTGCTACTAGCAAGCCGGTCAGAATGCTCCAACATTAATTTTGACCTTGGAAATAAAATCCTCATGCCCAATTACCTGAACTTCGACATACATCACGAAAATGTGTGGCAAAATGACCCATTATTATTATTAAACAAGACTTAGTTTAACATATTGCTAATACTACGCCGGTCAGAACGCTTCAATGTCTGTTTTGATCTCAGAAATGAATTCCACGGAATAGCTGGCTACTAGTGCGCCGAACAAAATGCCCCAATATTCATATTGACCATAGAAATGAATTCCTGGTGCTAAATTACCTAGAAATCAACATACACCATGCAAACCTGTGCTAAGCTGGCCCATAAGGTAACAGCCGGCTACCGGCGCGCCGATCAGAATGTTACAATATTCAATTTGACATCTGAAACGAATTTCTCGTGCCTAATTACCTGTAAATTAACATACAACTCGAAAAATATGTGGTTTGATGACCAAAAACGTAACAGCTGGCTACTAGCGCGCCGATCAGATTGCTCAAACTACATTTTAGACCCAAGAAATAGAATCCCCAGGCCTAATCGACATACAATATGCAAAATTTGTGGCAAGATGACCCATAATGTAACCTCTGGCTGCTAGCGCGCCGATCAGAACGATCCAATGTCTGTTTTGACCAAAGAAATGCATTCCTTGTCCCAATTTACCTGCAGTTATATGTATCGCATGCTACTTTTGTTTTGAATAATGCCAAAATTGAAAAAGTTAAAATACTCAAATATTTTCTGAAATGCGCGCGCGCGGGGATTTGAGGCTTTTCCCCAAAACTGTCCAGAGATTAGATGTTTGAAAGCATCTTTAAGCAAATTCAAGTTCATTTCATGGTGTCAAGATTGCAATAATGAGGAAAAAGAAAAATTTTCAACCATTTTCCTCGATTTTTATGAAACTGCAGTAATTTATAGTTCACATGCGAAAAATCAGCGTTCTACGACAATTTTAAGCTATGTTTAAACACTGTTTAAATTTTCCGGAGAGTAATATAATACGTGTTGTGCCCCTCCCACTTTAAAATAAACTGGGATGTTATGAAATCTTCATTTTACCTGACTGTGCGAACTGTCTGAATCACTGATCACCTCGCTGATAACTTCTGTATCCTCAGCATCTCTCCTGTCCTCTACAGTCTCATCATTAAGATCCTCTGTCTCCATTGTCCTGTCTGGGATGGAGATAGTTGCAACCTCTGTAAGTATCCTTGACTCTGCTGAATCTCTATCTAGAAGCTGGTCCATCATCTCCTCAAACTCTTCAGTGTCAGCCTCCTGCATAGAGGAATATTAGGTATCAATGGGATCTTTTCCCTCCATTAAATTAGCCAACATCTATAGTTAAACACTAGTTCTAACCTTAAAAAAAACAAGTCAAGATATTATTAGATTTTAAAAGCTAATTTGGTAAATAAAATCTAGTAAACAAATAGAGTTAACATTTTTAAACAAAGAATATGATAAAAGTTAAAAGAAGAAATAATCTCAATATAAACATATAGATCTTAAAAACCAGGAGAGAAGTAGTAAACTTTCTTTAGATAATCACCCCCCCCCCTTGTTTATTAGATTTTTGTCATCCAAATTAGGGAATATAAATGATTGCATCAAATTTCCAAGAAGAAGAGGAAAATAGCCAGTAAATATCCAGCTTTTTTTATTTAAAACCTGAACAATTCGAAAATTGTGTCCATGAAAAAAAACACTCAAATTTTAAACAAAGATAGAACTGAAAGAGAGTTAAAAGTACCTCAACGGTGTGCAAAAGTCCTGACTCGCTGTTAGGGTCAGCTGAAGCTGCTGTACTAACATCGTGCTCAGTTGCTTCATTCTCATTTCCTCCTACATCCTCCTCTCCCTCTGCACGGGTAGCCTCTGCAATAGTTTACAAAAGTAAGAAATGTGCTAATTATGATGATCTTTTTACAGATATGACAGATCAACGTTTTTCCTAGAGTTAACTTAAGATTTGGATTTACACATTCATGTAAAAAAAATTCTTAACCAAAATCAAAACAAACATAACTTTCTTAATAAAACTGATTTTTATTTGTGTTTCGCTATAAATAAGAAATAAGTATACTAGCATTAAACTAACTCTTCTCTTTGAAAACTTATAATACACTACCCAAAGTCTTAAACTAACTTTCTATATCACGCGAGTATATTTTTATGCTTACAGTTTACTTTTGTAAATAATAATTTATCCTCCATTTTCTAAATGGATGTCAAGAAACTGTTCTAATCCCTAAATCTTGGCAACCTGAGGGTGTAAACTTTCTTTCTAACTTCAGACTATTTGAACTAATAACAATCTACGACATCAGGTTGCAAAGGTATAACTTTTGGAGATATAAGTTTAACTGTTTAGTGTTATTTCAAGTGACCCTCCATGCAAAGATGGCAATGCCCAATTTACAAAAGCTTTGTCTGAACAAGTAAAAATTATAAATGCATGATTTTGCTCATTTAAACTGTTCATTTCTGATTTCTCTGAAAAGGTGACTGGGCAATTTTTAATCAGATTTTAAAGGTACTGTTATAAATCGGGCGTTGCAATCTTTCATGGAGGGTCACTTAATATTTCACTTACAGTCCTTTAAGAAGTTTAAAGGTCTACGTTTCCCAAATTTTTGCAATTCAGTTTCTCTTATAAGTATGTAAGCGTTCAGGAGTTTAAGAATTTTAAATGATCAACAAATGATATTTTCTTATTTTAATCACTAAGAATTGATAAATCGGTTTGTTTTGTTTACTTGTTAAAATGTTTACCTGAGTTTGTAGTGTGAGTGTGGCCCCTGGTCCTTGTATCCTGGGATTCAGGTTTAGTTTTGTGCAGTTTAGAAACTGGTAAACTGTTAGGTTGATTCACAATCTTTGACAGGGTTTCTAAACAGATATATTTATACAGGGTGTCACAATAAATATAGGTATTACGAGACAAATTCAAAAGTATTGATTTCCGATGATCAATCAGTGACAAAGAGTGTTTAGAAAAAGATTAATGTTAAATGGGCTTTTTGAAATTCTTTTAAAATTGTCGACGACATTAAACATATAAATAATTCAGTTTTTTCAGACGGATCTAGAATCGCTTTCTTATGAACTATTTACCTAGAGGTTTCATGGCGGCGTTAATCGTCGCGGCCATTCCAGGGGACGAGAGATCTAGTGCATGAGGTACCCTCGCCAGATCAGTGATCAGTCCCTTCTTCAGCATACACTTGACAATATTGTTCATGTTGACTGAAACCTGCTTGAAAGGGGGCAGGACGGAGCCCGTGCTCTGGGGACAGGATTCTATCATGGTAGAAATCAAACCTAAACATATAAGTATTAAATTGTATATCATATCCTTCGTCTTTCCAGTTTTTAGGATACGGATCAAAATAGCTAATCCAATGTAAAACCGTGAGCTGAAGAAGAAGTCCCCAACCTCTCTTTAGATACTAAGTACCCCAAAAATCATCTAATTTTCGTATTTCTGCGAGAGAAAAAAATATTATATACTGGGGAAGGAACTGATCTTTTTAGAGGGGGGGGGGGATAATTTATAAAGAAAACATAAACCCCGGGCCTACCTGTGAGCGCCTGTATTTTGTTATGTTTAGCTGTGCACTCAGGTAGCGCCAGCGAGCGCATTAGCGCGTTTTTCATTTCTGTAACTATACTGGTCTGCGCCTAGAGAAAAATGCTCTTATTATCAAGAGAAAACCCCTTAGATCTCAGTCACTGATATCTAACATCATTAAAAACCTAGTAAAGAATAAAAAAATTGACTTGAAAATTATACAAACACCGAGATAAATTCTATTGATTTAAATGATTTAAATCTAATACTTGATTGAAAACGTCGCAGATCTTTGTTAGCAATTAAGGTGTACTGCAGCTTCTGGGAGGAATATAAACAAAACTTAGCCTGGACAACACAATGTCTGTTTCTCCACGAAACTGCAGTAGACCTTATTTGTAAAGCTATGTGAGTTCCTCTCATACTATTTGCTTCAGACTTGCATTTAAATATTGATCAATTTCAGCGATTCAACTCTTTATTGATTGCTTGAAATCTACCTCAGGGGCGTGATTACAGCTTGAAATCTCTGCAACTATTAAGTCTATTGATTGATTGAAACATGCCTCAGAGGCGTGATTACAGCTATAAATCACTGCAACTATTAAGTATATTGATTGATTAACAACTTACCTCAGGGGCGTGATTACAGCTAGAAATCGATGTAACTATTGTCTATTGATTGATTGATTGCTTGAAACTTACCTCACAAGCGTGATTACTGCTAGAAATCGCTGCAACTATTAAATCTATTGAATATTGATTGATTAACAACTTACCTCAGGGGCGTGATTACAGCTAGAAATCGCTGCCACCAACATTTTAACAAGATTTGAACAATCCTTGTCCGAAGCCAGAGTTAACAACTCGTCTAAAAACACACCAAACACGTGGTGAACGTTTAGTAGATCAAATGATTAAGAATATTTTGGCAATATTTTATCAAAAAGACAATGTCTTCGAAAATGACAGGGGGGGGGGGCAACTGATTGAACAAGATCTGTAGAGTAAAGTGAGATCATGCAAAAAAAAACGCTGAATCATAAAACGCCGTTTTAAGAAGAAAAACGCTATTTTTAAAAACAAAAACAAAATGGAGATCAATCAAAATTTCATTGATCCCAAGCACAGAAAAAAATGAAGTAAATAATTCTAAATTAATGTTTATTTTGTTGTGTTTAGTTTCCTAGAATGAAAGACATGGCTGAACAATCCTCTTTAACTAGCTCCGACATACCCGCAGTAAATTGATGATCAGTTATCAATCTGAAATAGAAAATAAATTCAAATATTAATCATTGATTTTCAGCCATGGCTTAATAGTGTAAAACTAAAAATAATAGAGAAGTAAAATAATAAATTTACCATCCATGATCTTAATATATACACCAAATAAAAAAAGTTAAATGAAGTGAAAATAAAGTAAAAAAAATCTTATTACATAATCCACATTATTATTTTCGACACTTTTGAAGATTAGGAGTGGAAAACTTTAAAAAATTGGATACCCACATGCATTTTTCATAACAGTAAGTTTATTCACAAATTCAGCAAAAAACTGTAATGACGTTCGACTTTAATACTAAAATCTAAAAAATACCTGGCGCATCCGGCGTAGCTCTTAACCATCTCTGCGAGGAGCCGACAGACAGCAGATTTGGGCAGCAGTGGTCTAGTCGATCTATCGATTTCCTAGGGGAAAGTTTTACGTTTATTTTTACCCAAATTAGTGACAGAATTGACCAAAAGGGCAATTCATGCTCGCCTTGGATCCATAAAAACACGAGTGTTTACGGATTAACCAATTAAGCAGACACAAAAAAAATGTTTTCTTATTAGTAAGAATGTGGAACATGCATAAGTTGTGGTCTTAACATCTTATTTCCGCTCAGGGTAAGCCATTATAAAATTTCCAATAATTGAATGTTTACAATCTCGAAAAAGTAAATAGTTATCTAATCTAATTACCTGAGATGTTTTTTCTGCTTTGGCATTCTCTGAGCTGATAGTTGGAGTAGAGAAGGGGGAAGCAGGTTCAGTAGCTGGGAAGGTCGCAGGTTCACCAGCTGGCTGGTCAGATCCAGCTCCAGGGGTAGATAAGATAGAAACAACTGACACTGGCAGGTCACCTAGGATAGAAACTACAGATACTGGTAGGTCACCTACGATAGATACTAAAGATACTGGTAGGTCACCTAGGATAGAAACTACAGATACTGGTAGGTCACCTAGGATAGATACTACAAATACTGGTAGGTCACCTAGGATAGATACTGCAGATACTGGTAGATCACCTAGGATAGAAAATACAGATACTGGTAGGTCACCTAGGATAGATACTGCAGATCCTGTTAGGTCACCTAGGATAGATACTACAGATACTGGTAGGTCACCTAGGATAAATACTGCAGATACTGGTAGGTCACCTAGGATAGATACTTAAGATACTGGTAGGTCACCAAGGATAGATACTACAAATACTGGTAGGTCACCTAGGATAGATACTACAGATACTGGTAGGTCACCTAGGATAGATACTACAGATACTGGTAGGTCACCTAGGATAGATACTAGAAATACTGGCAGGTCACCTAGGATAGATACTACAAATACTGGCAGATCACCTAGGATAGATACTACAAATACTGGCAGATCACCTAGGATAGATACTGCAGGTCACCTAGGATAGATACTACAAATACTGGCAGGTAACCTAGGACAGATACTGCAGAATGTGCAGATACTGGTAGGTAACCTAGGATAGATACTACAAATACTGGCAAGTAACCTAGGATAGATACTGCAAATACTGGTAGGTCACCTAGGATTGATACTAAAAATACTGGCAGGTAACCTAGGATAGATACTAAAGATACTGGCAGGTTGCCTATGAATTATACTAAGGATACAGAATATTAACTCGTACTCATAATTTAGCCTTTAAAACAGGAACCTGATGTGCGAAACCGAGCTTAAAAAATCCCAATTTTTGATTTAACCAACCTTCAGACTTGTTCTGTTCTAAATCGTCGATTGCTTCGGCCGACGAGTCGTATGGGTTAGCGACTACTAGGAAATCCAGCAGGTCGGATATCACAATCTACAAATATATTTTTACGATAGTGTTATCATATTCAAACGAAAATTAAGCATTTTTATCCCCCCCCCCCGCGTTGTAGGAAAAACGAAAGATAAAAATTATCTGAATTTTTGAACAATTTTTTAAGGATACTTTTTTACTCAAACTGTTTCTTGAAAGTGCATATCCTCAACTTTTCAAAGATTTTGCAAATCAAAATTTTATGGAAATTGGCCAAGGGGTCCGCGAGTTATGAAAAACAGTAATTACTACTTAAACTATATAGATTGTACAGACGTCTCACTCTACAACTCTGTTTACCTTGCTGACCTCCTGAAGAGGAGGAGCCGCACTGGTCAGTTTAGCAGGAATACTCTTTATCAGTAGCCGTGGGTCATCCTCGGGTTCACCACGCTTGTTCAGTAAACTCAGATCAACGCGCAGGATCTCACGACCAACATCTGCACATGTGCAACAGATCAGAAAATGTGCGAAATCTTTAATCAATTGAAACAAGGAAAAGAAGGGGTTTACAAAAAATTAAATTACGTATGGCATGGATTGCTTTACACAAATTGAAGATTTAAGTATACTCTGCATTATAAATGTTCAGTCCGTTTTTTTTTTAAATAATTGAAGTAATTACTTTTTATTCTGAATAAACAATGTTTCTCTTCTAATTAAGTCTTTACCCTAAATAATGTCCTTAACTTGAATATGGCTTCTCGAAATTATATTTTGAAAAATAAATCGAGAATTTTTAAGTACTTATGCTTAACAAATATAAATGAAATCGAAGATGAAAAAGTGATACAAAAATATAATTGTTTTGTGTAAAAAAGAAGTGAAACTGGAATACATAAGAAACAGGGTAAAATGTGAAAGATACAAGCAACGGGGATAAATAGTAAATCATACAGATTAAGTAAAACTAAGTTTGAGCTAGCTAGGTCCGCTGAACCACCTACCACCGATTCAAATCTTGAATCGTCGATTAAAAGTTTCAATTCCAATGATTTAGGATTTGAACCGGCAGTAGTAGTTCAGCGACATCTCAAATTCAAAGGTATATTATGACCCACCTGTAAATATTTCTGGGTTCCTACAGGCTGCAGGAGCCAGGAATCTCAGCAGATAATGAATCTCTTTTGTAGTTGCCGCGTTATTGGAGAGCGTGGAGGCTCTGATCACCTTCTCCATGGTGTGTCGGAGGGTCTCCCTGTCCTCCAGGACGTGTCTCACCAGGAGTGAGGCCAGGCTACTGAATCCAGTGAAGCTTGAGGTCTGTTTAAGTCCAAGAAGAAGTTTAATCCCTCCCAGCTCAGCAAACATAGCAGCTAAATCAAAATCACGTGTAAGGCGTAAACTCAGGCGCATGATGGCGTTGAGTGCGTCGGGCTCGACCGGAACAGCAATCATGTTGACGCAGGCGCGGAGGAGGGTTACACTAGACTCTTGACTGAGACCAGTACAAATATATTCCGGTTCACTTTCCTCTTCGTCCTTCTTGTCTGCCGTCTCCACCTCCATAGTTTCCGCCTTCTCACCCTCGCGCTCTTCGATCTCTCCCTCGTCGAGATCTTTGTTCTCTTCAGGAGCTTCAGAAACAGTTTCTCCGACAGTCTGTGTAGCATCAACAGTTACAGTTTCGGGTTCCTTAATAATATAATAAGATGTTTAATTTATACGGATCAAAATCTAGGTTTAAAATTGAATCAAATAATATTAATCTGATGTTAACCTTTAAACAGAGCATAACGGGTCTCTTGTTCCCTGACTCCTCATTACTCTGTACCATAGATCCAAACTGGATTACATATCGTCTTCGTCCACTTGTTATCTTTGCATTCGTCTCTCCAGCCCAGAATGCATCATCTATAATATCAAAATTTATTTTTCAAAGTTATCAAATTAATTCAGACTTAAAGGGACTGAAAGCGTAATTTCAAAACGCCGGCGTGTGCGCTGTGTACAGTCTGAAATCTGGCATTTTCAGCTGACTACAAGCGTTATGGTAACTATACTTACGCATTTCTGTACCCGACGAACACAAAGATTTTAATATAAGGGTACCGTTGTAAATCGGGTTTTCCCCTCTTTGCATGGAGGGTCACTTGAAATTAGGCTACAGTCCATTAAGTGCAAAAATAGTCATTGGATAGATGATACGCTACACGTAATAAAATGATTTTTTTTTTTGGCAAAATCACTGTCTTCACTCTTCACATTATTTTAGCTGTGACTCAATTCAGACGCTTTTACGGAAGAATTAGGGATCAAATTATGCAATCGTGAAAAGTATAACCTCGATATTTTCTTCTTTTTATATTAAAAGAATTTGAAACGTTTTACCCAAAGAATCAATTAACTCTACAATTCAGTGAAGAAAAAAAAACCTAAAATAATATTTACTTCTGGGGTAAAATAACGATTTCCTATAAGGTGGGGAGGGGTGATTTGTAAGAAAATATACACCCCTGTAAAAAATAATAATAATATTAATAATAATAATAAACCTCAGGGAAAATAATATTTTCTGACCTATAATCTTATTCTGTGGTGGACCGTATCCACACCATTTGCCTGTAGAGATATCAAACCATTTCCAGATATTACTCACTAGAGGTCGCATTCCACTTCGTCGCTTCATCGATAGGACAACCTATTAAATCAAATAATATTTTACAGGGATTGCTTAAGGCATCCTTCTTTACATAAATAGGGATGACAAATTTAAGTCTCAGTCTACACACAAACATGTTTGAGGAAAATTATAGAGTCTTTACATATACACAAATATGGAAACAAAATAAGAGTCAATTATACACATTACACAGATAGGGATGGAAAATATAAGTCTCAATCTACACCACTAATAGGGATGAAAAATATGTGACACAACCTACACACAAATTGGGAGGAAAAATATGGGACTCAACCTACACCACAAATAGGGATGAAAAATATGGGACACAATCTACACACAAATAGGGACACAACCTACACACAAATTGGGAGGAAAAATATGGGACTCAACCTACACACAAATAGGGAGGAAAAATATGTGACACAACCTACACACAAATTGGGAGGAAAAATATGGGACTCAACCTACACACAATTAGGGAGGAAAAATATGTGACACAACCTACACACAAATAGGGATGAAAAATATAAGTCTCAATCTACACCACTAATAGGGATGAAAAATATGTGACTCAACCTACAAACAAATAGGGAGGAAAAATATGGGACACAACCTACACACAAATAGGGAGGAAAAATATGGGACACAACCTACACACAAATAGGGAGGAAAAATATGTGACACAACCTACACACAAATAGGGAGGAAAAATATAAGTCTCAATCTACACCACTAATAGGGATGAAAAATATGGGACTCAACCTACAAACAAATAGGGAGGAAAAATATGGGACTCAACCTACACACAAATAGGGATGAAAAATATGGGACACAATCTACACACAAATAGGGAGTAAAAATATGGGACACAACCTACACACAAATAGGGAGGAAAAATATGGGACACAACCTACACACAAATAGGGAGGAAAAATATGGGACACAACCTACACACAAATAGGGAGGAAAAATATGGGACACAACCTACACACAAATAGGGAGGAAAAATATGGGACACAACCTACACACAAATAGGGAGGAAAATATGAGTTTATGCCCTTAGGTCAGTAATACCCTTCTCCACTCAACTAAGACGCATATTAGCAAGGTATTTTGGTACCGAATACTACAATTACAGAAAACATAATTGTTCCTACTGTTCCTGTAGCAGATTCCGATTTAAAAGTTGAGGTTTTCTTCAGCATTTTTTTGTAAAAAAAAAACATCGGGTCATTTCACAATATTGATGTTTTTATCGTTGTGATAGATTTTAGAAAAAAAGATCACTAGAAATATATAAATCAGAGTTTTTGAGAAATAAAAAAAAACCTTACCTTTTCGTACAGGTCAATAAACAGCAGCATTGGAGTTATCCACTTGGGCGTTGGGGGATGCACTTTCCCAGCTGCTTCCTTAGAGCTGTCTGCTCCATCTGCAGAGGTGCTTCCGCACTCTTGAGGTTCGGAGCTGCTTTGAAGCTTCAAGTCTGCTTTGTTCAATGCAATCTGAGTCACTTCAACCAAACCAACCATTTCCTTAATTAAGACAGTATTGCCATTACAAATAATTTAAGGGGGTTACTTAAAGAATTTTGTTTTGGGAATATGATTTTTGGGCGAAAACCAGAAATTTCCTGACAGGAGAGGTTGCTAACAGAAGGTAATAAAAGCTGTTAACACTAAAAACTTTATCATAATCTATTATTGAACAATGAAGACTGCATTAAATTTAATTCAGTCCTTTTGGATATTTGAATTTATTATACTAAATTAAGAAACACAAGTGTAAAAAAGGGAATACAATGATTGATGAAATTAAGTAACAACATCATATGTATATAAAGAATCTGATTGTTTGTTAGTATGCCCCTCCCCGTGACCAATTGACCTTAGCTTGGCAAAGCTGGATTCCCAAGCTAGTTGATGATAAAGAAGCAAAATAGAGTGAAATAAAAGTCAAATCGTTTTCTTAAAGATGAATTATATAGACGATGAAGAGGGGGTAAATCTAACGACAATATAGTATTAAGTTTAAAGATTACCTGGGGCTTTTCTGCTGCTTCTCCAGTCATATTCTCACCAAGAGACATAGCAATAGCTCGCATCAAATCATCCTAAAAGGAAGTGTTTACATACAGTGATAGGCGATTATATCTATACAATGAAGACGATTTTTTAGTATGAGGTAAAATCAAGACAAAAACACTACAAATGTTGAAATTAAACTTCTTTGTTACTTCAAACCATACTTATTTGTAACCGTTACATATTATGAACACTTTTAAAACCCTGTTAGATAATCATTTTTCAAAAAACATGACTCAGTAAAAATAAGCTAGTTTTAATTTTGTATTAGGGAGTAGTTTGAATCTCTACCTGTTGTGTAGGTGCAGGTTGTTGGATGAGAGGTATAGGATTACTGAGTAAATATTCAGTAGCTGCATCTAGGCTACCACCAACTGTCTGGATAGCTTCCACACATCTGAACAGATAATATATAAGAAGATAAGTAAGAGTTTAAACCTCAAAATAAATATTGAGATTTGAAGCTTTCCCCTTCCTCAAAAATCAATTAGTTGACTCTTTTTAAAATTAAAAATAATAATACAAGCATTTTCTATGTTAAGAAAGTATTTATAAATGATAAATGATTATCGTTATATTTCATCAAATTTTTAACCTATTTTTACTTAAAATGATTTTTTAATGCCAACCTTTCTCTGGGGAATCCCATATCCATGAGGGTTTGGAGATGCTCCGGGTTGATATCAGGTTCCGCCGGAGTACTGGTCTCCCAGGTCTGATCTATTCCTAGAGCTGATCCTGCTGCACCTCCTGCTCCTCCTGCTTTCTTCTCAGCTTCATCCTTCTGCTCAGGTTTCTCTTTCTCCAACCTCTCCTTGATCAATTGTTCTCCCTTCAAGATGTGGCAGAGGATTGCTAGGACAGATTCAGCCATCCGTCCTCCGTATACAGCCAGGGGCTTCTTCCCCCAGATGTGCATGACGGACTGGAACGCGGTCTTGTGGGTTTTAATCAGGTATCCGAGGATATCGAAGGGTTTGAAGTTTGATACCGGTTTTACCGGGAGGAGATGTGGGGACTCTAAAACATTCTTAGGGTTGACCATCTTCTCCAGGAGCATCAGCCAGGCGTCAAGGAACTCTCCTGTTCCCTCTGGCAGGTTGGGGTTCTCTAAACCCTCCTCAGGAGCGCAGGTGTTTCCAAGAGTGATCGCCCAATTAAAAGCATCAAAGAAAGACTTCTGACCGTTCCCTGATATAAACTGGTGAAGCATGAGATGATAGGGAAACTTCTTTTCGTCGAAGAGCATGGGTGACGTGAACCCGACAGAACAGATGAAAAAAGTCAATCTGAACTTAGGCAGAGGAGAAGTGGGAGGAGGTTGCCATGAGAGACCTGAGGCAAGAAGTTTGGTCAAAGCTGTTGCTACCGCCCTCGCCGGCAGGGAGGGCATAGCGGGTGCAGGTGGGACCTGTTGACCACGCCTTTGTCTCAATGGACTGCCAACACATAGCTTAACAAGGAGACCGAACAGTTCTGCTAGTGCTCTTCCTAGTCTACTAGATCCAGATAACAAAGGTTTAATCTGTTTGATCTGACTTTGAAGCTGGGGATTTGGTTTCTTGTCTTTAGTTTCCGACTCAACCGCACCAGTATCCATGACGCTGTCAGTACTGTCGGTTGTTAGCTGTTCCATTGCTGTTGTTACACCGCTGCCACTGTCTAGACTAGACCCGCTGGCAGGAGAACTAGGATTCTCCTGCGGAAGAAGTTTCTCCATATCCTCCTTACCAAACAAGCTGTCAGGGGGAAGAGTGTCTTCACTACACAGTGCCAGGAGAACAGTGCTCTCCCATACTAGGCTGGTATACAACTTTGATAGAGAACCCAGAACCTGTAACCCCAGCTCACTGCCCCAGTGGGATACAGAGATGGTTCGGATATCCGCTTGTCCTGTTCTGCATACATGAACAAACATAGTAATGTAAGCATGTGCAGCAGACATATGATGAAGGAGAGGGGTAGCAGCAGGATTGTTGATCGCTTCGGATAGATTGGGAGATGTTACAAGTTCACGGAGCAAAACTGAGCTTCCAGGAGCTTCCACAGGGACGTGAAGCGGTTCGAGGCTCTTGAGTACCTCGTTCAGATGAAGAAGTCCTTGTTTTAGAACTTGAGGTTCATGTGCTAGATTTAAGATTGATTTACAGACTGCTGCAACAGACTGGCAGGCGGGTTGGGCCGGGAAGTCTACTGGAAGGTTTGGCAGTCCAAGGATACCCATGAGGGGAACAAGTCCTTGTTGAGTCACAAACTCCCGACAGTGGTCGTCTGTACTGTTGTTGGAGAGGATAGCGTCCACAAACTTCATGACGTTTAGGACATAGTCCACCAGAGGCACCGGCTCCTTCTCTAATCCTTCAGCACTGGTCTCTGTCGGCACTGGAGTCTCAAGGTTGCTAGTCTCCTCCCTCTGCACTCCTGGATCCTCTTCCTCCTCCTCTTCTTCATCACTGCTTGCCTCTCCTCCACCTCCACCGCTAGCTCCTCTAGCCTCAACACCGACGCTTGGCACCACCTCGCCTTTCCCAGAGGTTTTCCAACAAACGTATTTAGGATCACGTCCAAGTGAGCAGACTTGTTCAAGAAGCTTAATAATTGCAGTGGTTGCTGCCTGTTTGAGACTTGGCTGATGTCGCATCAGTTCATCCATTGCGTTCCCGAGGTTAGAGGCCGTATCTCCCAGGGGGTCAGCTGACCTCCGTCTTCTCATGGCAGGCAGATAATCAGGAGATAATAAAACCTAAATAATTAAACAATTGAAAATATTGTAAAAAAGAAATTTATTTCATTTCGTATCTTTCTGAGGTTAAGAAAAAAATTGTAACCTATATTTAATCAGTACAATTAATGAAAAAGAGATTGACTGGACACTTTTTGCAATCCTATTTTACTTTGATATTCACCATCTTAAAGTTATCAAATAAAAAATTATCTATTACCTTAAACAATCGTTCGAATGGTTTGCAGGCTACAAATGCTTCAAGGCCTCGGGTATTCAGGCAGAGAGCACTGAACACATTGGGCAAGGAGGCAAGGACCTAAATATAAATAATTAAAAATTAAATAAAAGGTTTCAATTTTGATCCCAAAAATAGGTATCGACGTCAGGGTAACGACAAAAAAGTTCAACTGATCGACCTTTCTAGTCAAGTTTTTAAGTTATTCACAAGGCCAATAAGCAAAAAAAACTTCATTATTTCCCATCAATCATACCAAACATATTTTCAAGAGGGGGAAGAGGTTATCAATAAAATTAAAATTTTTTTTAACTTATCTCATTTAACACTGTTAAACTATTACCTCTCTGGTGGCTGGAACTTCTTTGACTAGAAGTGCGTTGAGAACAACATCTGTAAGTCCTTTGTCCTGTAGAGAGGATAGAAGAGATGGTTCCTACAAAAACAAAAAAATAGAAAATTGATTTGGAAATCTCTTCAAATGGATTTTTATTGAAAAGAAGTATGTGGTACTGAAATGAATGTGATTATCTTATAATCACAGATAGATTAAATTATAAAATTGGTTAATGCGAATTCTATTTTAACGCCTGAAAACAAGCAGACACTAGTTATTTTCTGATACTTCGCAGTATTCGCAAATACTGTCCAAAGGAATATTGAATCAAAATTAAAATAGTGCGTTTATTCACATAAATATAGAACTAGACAGCGGTACGCGAAGCGTTTTGGATTTCTAGGCTATCATTAAGTCTGCATTTAATTTCATACCTGGAACACGTATGCGGTGACCACATCGGTAGCGAGCAGGAATAGACTGGGTCCATAATATTCAGCATTACTGTAGTTACACACCAGGATTAGACACAATAAAAAAATCAATTAGTTAAAAGAAACTGTCAAGGGTTGGATTCAAACATTGATTTGATCCATTAAATTTATATAAATCTATCAATATTAGCCAAATGAACTGAAATTTCTTGAGTTAACCCGTACCCGGGGGGTAACATAGGCTAAAAAAATTTTTTTTTTTTAATTTGAAAATCTTTTTTAAATTTTTTGTTATTCCACGGGCAACGACAGCCACTTCAGCTAGTGCTTTTGATAAAAAAACAGCCACCTGGCATCTAAAATAAAATCCAACTCAGGTCAGTAGTTAAGCAAGCTTTGCTAAATTATCCAATTGAGAAGAAGAATACGCATAATAAAGATTGAGAAGAATACGCATAATAAAGATTGAGAAGAAGAATACGCATAATAAAGATTGAGAAGAATACGCATAATACAGATTGAGAAGAAGAATACGCATTATAAAGATTGAGAAGAAGAATACGCATAATAAAGATTGAGAAGAAGAATACGCATAATAAAGATTGCGAAGAAGAATACGCATAATAAAGACTAAGTCTAGGTCTGGTGTTCCTCCCTGATGACGTGCTTAAGACTGTTCGGTAAACTTCCTTCCATCACGTGACGAATAGAATCACTGATCAATTTATTCATTAGATATCAATATTCCGAATCACAAAAAATGTGGGAAAATGATTATAATTGCAGTTATTCCTTCCTTTTCAAGATTTCAAAGATTATCTAATGGCGGAGTGCGTGTGGGGGGGGGGGGTAAATTTTTCAGCTTACTGTTTTTTAAAACCATTTTTAATAAACAAGAAATAAATTCCTAAATGCTGGATCTTGAATGGCTTTCTTCAAGAAGTTCAGCATTGACTTGAGGAGCGCAGCGCGCTGAGGAAGGCAGGTCAACCCGGGCCTCGGAGCATCCAGGGGAGCCTCGAGGTCGACAGGAACATGGCTAGGGTCAACATCAACATCCATACTGTCCGACCTCTCAATGATGCCTGAAACAAAATGATGGTATATTTAACTTTAAATAATATTTATTGATAATTTGTGGAAACGACTTCTCTCTATTTTTAACAGAATTTTAACAGAATTTATTTCCCGTGATTTTTATTGTCTTCTTTGAATCATTACTTGTACAATCAAAACGGGATAAGACGAACTCCAATTCCCAAAAACATTGCTTTCCTCAAATAATTACATCAAAAATTACTCTAGGTATACCTCCCCCCCCCCAAAAAAAAAACTCTTCAAAGGAATAAAAAAGTTTAGTGATTAATAATTTTCATTTCTTAAGTTTATGAAAAAAAAAAAAACATCGTTGAATTTGTAATCTGAATATACGTAATGGTAAAAAGTCAAACCTAAGAGAAACCTAACCCCTACATCACCA